ACTGAGGTCTGTCTTCTTTATTTGATTTTTGTCTTCTTCCTGATCTATAAATATTGGCAAGCTCCTAAGCTCATTTTAGGTCCTTTTCTCTGCCTATACTCATCCGAAGGTGATACCAAGTGTTAGGGCTTAAGTACCATGTACAGGTGGATAACTTCCACATTTCCAAACTGGACATCTCCTATACATCATTTGCCCTCTCCACTTAAATAGCCAGAGTCCAATTCTTTTATTTTGCTGGTACTGGGGATGGAACTTGGGGCCTCAGACACGCTAGGCAAGCACTCTACCATTGAGTTACATCCCCAGACTTTTAAAATGTTTTCTTTTGAGACAGGGTCTCAGTAAGTTGTCCAGACTGGTCTCAAACTTACAATCCTCCTGTCTCAGCCTCCTGAATAGCTGGGATTGCAGGTGTGTGTCACTGTACCAGGGAGAATCAAATTCTTGATTTCTGCTTATCCCTCAAAAGTGTTTTTCTCCCAGTCTTCCTCATTTCAATAAAAGACATCTCTACTCATCCAGTTTATGGAACAAAAACATGTTATCCTTGATTCTTTTCTCTGCCTTGTATTATACACTCTTACCATCCTTATATATTTTTGGCCATACATTCAAAATATACCCAGAATCTGACCAGTATTTCTCAACATGAAGAACACTGTTAAAATGCAGAATAAATACAAGATATGTGTGAAAAATGCAATGTCCAGGCCTTGACTCAACAGGATCTAATTCATGTGAGAAAAGGTCCAGAAATCTGTTATTCCTAACTAATACCCAAGGGAATTTCATGTAACCAGACCTCACACTGTGATGTTTATTTATCTAAGGAAGCTGAAACCCAGAAGAACCAGCTATAAGTGGGAATTATATATATTTGTACACGTGTACTTTTTTCTTGAGTGTTTACTTTGTGCCAAATACTAACTTTTAAGGCAAATATTATTATTATCCCCATTTTACAGGTGAGGCAACTGAGATACAGAGAGATTTATTAACTTGCCCAAGAAGCACATCTGGTAGGTGGCAGAGCCAGAATTCAAAGCTAAACAGACAAGTTTAGCTCCAGAAATTAAGCTCTCAACTAAGATAGAAAATCAGGCTGACAGCTCAGCCAAAGACAGACTCTAAATATGAGGTTTAAAAAGCCTGGATACAGCTTCAGGAAAGCATAGTTTAACAAATCAACGTTAATAGCCAAAACAAATTATGCAAGCAGTTTTTATTTACAGCTGCCACTCAGAACAAAATGCCTTGATGTATTTTGGGTGAAGCAATTTTGTGCAATAAACTAAGTCAAGTCATTATGTAAAGGGCACTGGAAGACTAGATTTGCATACTTATTTTAAAATCAGGAAACAAGAATTGTTGTGTTCTTAAAAACAGTTTCAGAAAAGCAGAAATTCACATCTGTTTAAGAGAAAACTAGAAGCATGTGCCTCACTTTATGACAATTCTTTATGGCAAATGAAACTTCAGCTGCAGAAATCAAAACCCTCCCCCACAAAATCAAGATACATCAAAATAAAGGACTATTAAAGGTACCAGTCTCTTGTTCCCTCAAACCAAAAGCTTCTCTATTCATTCCAATCCTGCTCCACTGAAAACAATTTTCTCATGCTCTCTCTCACAGTATTCATACAATTAAATACACCATCCTCTAAGCTGTTTCTGAACACTTACGTAGTTTTTTTCTCTGCTAAAATCAATGCTATAAGTAGTTACTGTCTTGAGCACTACAGAGAATCCTTCAAAGGAAACTGAACAAAACAAAATGAGTGAAGAAATACAATACAGTATGACATACTAAGTGACAGCTTAATTCCCATGTGCAGTAAGTCAGCAAAAATTAGAATTCAATGTAAGGCTGAAATGAAATTTTCCAAGAAAAAGCACTTAAACAGTACCTAAGTACTCTCTCTCTTCTGTTTCTCGCTTATTGGTTAAAACTTTCAAGTGCTCCTGTGTGAGGCCTTTTTATCTATTTCTACTACTCAAGTTGGCGTTCTCATCACTTTTGTTTCTCATCACTTTTTATGTAGCCCTTTATAAAGAACACTTATCGATATTATATAATTTAATCTTTACAAGACTATGTACATCCACAATACTTATTGTGATAAGTTATATATTAACTTGAATTTCCTTATCTAAGGCTATGTGGCTTTTAGCATGCTACACAAGAATTCAAACTTACTTTTCTTTCCATGAAATCACTAGTATGGCATAGGTCCTTTGTTAGAAAACTTCTAATTTCTACCTCTCCAAACAATGTGAATGACTTCCTTTTAAATCACTTTAAAGACCATCAACAACTTCTACTCCAACTTCAAGCAAACCATGCCCACCCCAATCTGATTTTACTTGTCACTATAATCCCCTTGGAGAACCTTCCAGTTAACTTACTACCTGAGAAACCTAAGGGACCCTCACATTCTGATCATCTTCGCTCAAGGAGACTTTCTTAGCTGATATGCTTTTCCTCTCTCCCTCAAATTAAGGTCTGATCTCCACTCTCAGACCTAAGAGGCCTTCCTCTAGAGCCCTCACCCTTATCAATTAGATCTAAGGATTATTCTTTCTCACTTAAATTTCTGCAAAAGGTATACATTTGAGGCCGGACGCATCGGTGCATGGCTATAATCCAGCAGCTCAGGAGGCTGAGATGGGAGGATAGTGAGTTCAAAACCTGCCTCAGCAAAAGCAAGATGCTAAGCAACTCAGTGAGATGGTCTCTAAATAAAATACAAAATAGGGCTGGGGATGTGGCTCAGTGGTCGAGTATCCCAGAGTTCAATCACCAGTACCAAAAAGAAAGTATACATTTGAATACACCATATATTTCTTAAATATATTTAACATTTTGACTACCCCATCTCTTACATTCAGTTATTTAGTATTCTCTCTCTCTCTCTCTCTCTCTCTCTCTTTTTTTTGATATCAGGGATTGAATCCATAAGCGCTTGAGCCATATCCTCATCCCTTTTTATTTATTTTGAGAGAGGGTCTTTCAAAGTTGCTTAGGGCCTAACTAAGTTGCTAAGGTTGGCTTTGAACTTGCAATCCTCCTGTCTCAACCTCCCAACCCACTGGGATAACAGGAGTGCACCACAGAAATAGTATTGTTGATGTATTTATTCCTCCACCATCACACATCTGTACTGGACATTACAGAAATCAGAGATTATTAATGTATATTGTCATATTTAATTCTCCCAAAACAATCTGTAGTGTAGGTGCCAGAGACCTAATATTTCTGATGGAGAAAAGAAACTTAGTGAGATTAACTGGCTTTCCAGTCTTCATATTATTTCCAAGGAGCAGATATACTTCAATCCAGGTTCTTCCCATAACATAATGATGCCATGTAGTACCCAGCTGGCCCTCCAAATCCAGACTCTATATTCACAGATTAACCAACCATGAAACAAAAACATTCTATAAAAAAAAAAAAAACTGTCCTGAACAGGTATACTTCTTTTCTTGTCATTATTTCCTAAAAAATACAGCACAGCAACTATTTACATACCACTTACATTATATACTATAAGTAATCTACGGGTAATTTAAAGCATATTAGAGATGTGCAGCTCATATATAAATACCACACCATTTTACCTAAGGGACTTGAGCATCCTCCAGTTATCAAAATCCACAGGGGCTCCTGGAACCAAATCCCAGCACACACAAAGGGACACCTTATTCAGTAATCTCTGCCTCAGCAGAAGGCCCATGCTTAATATTTGATGATACAACTGGAAGGTAGAGGAAGGCTAGTGGGGAGGGGGGGAAACAATCACTAGCTGTGAGGTACTCAGAATTTGTATATAAAACTGTCCATCAATTCCCAATGCTCTCACATGTCTTGGAAAAATTTACCGTGCAGGCCTCCAGAATGCATTCCTGTCTTTAAGGGTTAAAAGTGTTAGAACCATGTAATTCAAACCTGGAAACTCAAAAAGACAAAAAGTTCTGGATCTGAGCCTCTCCACACCATCATGTATTCATTTCTTAAGCACATACTATATATTAGGCACAGGAAAATCTGACAGTTGTTGTACCCAATGAAAGTAAAAAATCTTGTTTACTAGATGAAAGAGACCCTAGGGTACATTTAGGTTAAATCCCTCGTTTTGCAGAATAAACGTAGGAAGAGCAAGCAAGATACAATCAAGGTCACTGAGCTAAACGCAGAACCAATACTAGGACTCTTGCTTCCCTGAAACTATTTCTTCCTGCATACTGTACAAAGACTAAGAAAAGACAACCCAGGAACAGTTCTACCTGCCCCCCCCCCCATTTTTCCCTTAAACCCTTGTTGCTGAGTGTGCAGTTAAAAAAATAAACAACAATTAAAAAAACAAACAAACAACTGGGAGGGCACAGAAGGAAAGAGGCAAGCAATAGTATACAGTAGGGCACTCGCTTGCAAACAGGCAGAGAAAAGAGGGCAGAGGGTAAAGAAGACATGAAGGGAAAAATCTTTCCTTTCATCCCAGCAGGTTAAGTCAACACTTAAATGTTTTCATTATTAGCGTGATAAAAATGCCCAGAAACTTCAGCAAAGACAGAAGGAGCGTTTGGAATCTGCAGCAGCACACAAGGGTGATGTAGTGAGGAGTTTGGGTTTACCAACTTCGAGTAGATTCCTTAATTTCTTTGGGCTTCAGTTTTCCCTGTCTGTGAAGGGCACTTTGTACGGGGGACACCAGAACAAGGGAAAAGTGATGGCCACGTTGATGTGTGGGAATAATCAAATTATGAAAAGCTGTGGTGGCCAGCATTAAGGACCAGGTACATTTCTGACAAAGAAACCCTGAAGAGGTGAAAGTTCGGGCTTGAAGTGGGGAACGTGCGGGCTACAAGCCCGTGTCGGTGGGCTAGACGAGGGTTTTCCTCAAGAGGCCGCAAAAATAAGGGGGCGGGGATGGGAAGGTGGTCTCGCCGCTCCCCAAGCCTCCCCAGGATTTGACTGTCCCCAGGAACTGACTCCTTACCTTATCTAACAAGCCGCTGCGGCTGCTGCCTGTCCCGCAGCTAGGGCCACCACTAGCCCCACTACTCCCTCCGCCACCACTTCTCCCGCCCTGTGCCGCCGCCGCCGCCATCTTGTCTGCTTCTGCGTCTCCCTCCCCTCCGATTTGTCCGAAGCCGATTGGCTGAATTTGCCGGCGTGACGCGCCGCTCGGAGTCCTTCGGGATCCGTAGTTCGGGTTGAGATGACGCGAGGTTATAAGCGGAAGTGACCGCGGAGCTTGCCGGGACTTGTAGTTAGAAGCTCCGGCTGCCGGTTGCTGCCTACACGGCCAGCCGCGGCGTCGCGGTTACTAAGGAGTAAGGAAGGTAGTGGCAAGCGCCACCGTGGAGCAGCTCCGAGATTTCCGCGAGCCTCGCAGGCGCGCGTCCCGCCTGACCCGGTCGTCGCCTCCGCGGACCCCTCGAAGGCGGAAGCGACGGCGGAGGCAGGTGCGGCTGGAAACTTCATTTGTGTAATTTAGTCTTCCCGCCCCAGATGTGGAGTCTCCAAAGGAGCGAGGATAGAGCTATCCTTCATCCTTTCCTACCTGTTAGGGCACTTAACCGATTATTCTCTCAAGCGACTGTCATTTTAGCTGTAAGCAATGTTGCATGTAGAATTCACATTTCGGAGTGATAAATGTTTGCCAGGCCAGAACCACCCTGTCAGATGAAGAAACTAAGGAACTTACCCAAGGCCAGATAGTATGTATCAAAACCCAGTTTGAAGCCAGGTTTTGTTGTTGTTGTTGTTGTGTTTTGTTAGAGCTTTTACAATTTTAGGATATAGTCATATTCTAGATTTTAATCAATTATCAATTTATTTTTCCACAAAGGTTTTCCACAAATATTTATTGAGCACCAATATTACCTGGCATTGTACTAAAGAATACAAAGGGAACACAATACACCTGGTTGAGCCAGCTTGGTGATACACACCTGTAATTCCAGTGACTCAGGAGGTTGAGGCAGGAGGATCACAAGTAAAGGCCATCCTCAACAACTTAGGGGGCCCCTCAGCAACTTGGCAAGAGCTCGTCTCAAAAAAAGTAAAACAAAAAAGAATTGGAGATGTAGCTCAGTGGTAAAAGGTCCCTGGATTCCATCCACAATACAAAAGGAAGGAAGGGAGGAAGGGAGGGATAAAATCAATTACTACTCTAGAGACCTAGAGTTATCACACAGTAGTATTACATTATACTCTGTTACATTTCATTGTACCTTTTTTTTTTAATCCCTGTGTCCCTGTCATAAGTATCCAAATGGAATAAATTCTTAATGAATTGCTTAATATGGAGCATGCCCTGTTCTAGTCAGTCAGGATACATCTCTGAATAAAATGGACAAAAACCTGTCTTGAAAAAGTTAACATTCATATGAAAATAATGACCATTAAATAATATCAGATTAGATTTCTTCACCTCTGTTGGGAGAGGAAGGCCACTTGGATGGATTCTTCTGTAGCTCTTTGTTGTTGCTGTTCATCTTTTGTAATTTCTCATTTTTCACATTTATTTCAGTGCAATATAATTGTACATAACAGTGGGATTTGTTTTTACATATTTGTGCATGCATACAATATGAATAATTTGGCCAATATAATTCCCCACTATTTCCCCTTTCCCTCCCCCCATTTCCTTTAGTCTACTGATCTCCCTTAAATTTTCATGAGGTCCCTCCCCACATTTCTTTTCCCTTTTTCTTTCTAACTTCCACATATGATGTCATTTCTCATTTTTAAATATCCAACTCTAATGTCACTTGCTCTGTGAAATCTTTCCTGACCTTTGTTTTTCCTTTTTTACGTATAGAATGAAGTGCTCCTATAGCATTTTGTTTGTGGCTCAGTTAAGTACAGTTAACACTCATTTAGACTCCTTTGTAGGCCAAATCTTGTATGAAGTTCTGGGAATAGAGATAAGTAGGACCCAGGCCAGGTTTTGGAAGGACTCAGCCTGAGGTTGGGGGAGAGGAACAGTCAAGGAAGCAGGCTGTTATAATACAGTGTGGCAGAGTCCCATCCTATGGGTCCCACCCTATTCTTCCTTAAGAAGTGGGCCTGAGGCGGTACACTGGCAAACATTTGTCACTCTGAAAATGTGAATTCTACATGCAATATTGCTTACAGCTAAGATTACAGTGTGGCAGAGTCCCATCCTATGGGTGCCATCCTGTTCTTCCTTAAGAAGTGGGCCTGAGGTGGTAGCACAGAGAAGGGTCAACCTGAGACCTAGGAGGTACACGAAAGTTGTCTATGAGCTGGACAAAAAAATAAGCATAGAAGTGTGATGTCTCAAAGAAATTAAACAAGAACATATGTGCAGAAGCAGATGAGAATATTCCTGCCTCTTTGTATGTGTGCACATATACCTGCACAAGAGAAAGAGAATATATATTTATGTTTTGAAGACAGGAGGTACTACAGTCAGATTAGCATGAGTTTCAAGTTTGAGATAGAGACTGGAGGTAACTGACTTTAACCAGACAGGCAGCCTCAAGTCAGAAACTTTTGGTTTTCTACCATAAAGTTCACACTTCCCTTAGTATTACTTTCTAGCAAATCTCACCTGGGAGTTATGTCCCCCCTTGGCCCATTAGTTATAGATCCACACCTTCTCACCTAATAGTCCTTATAGGAAATTGGAATTTTTATTAGTTATGTCTGGGTCTGTATGCTTGAGTTTGATTTTCCTTTGCATTATATGCATAATAGTATCTTTTCCCAGACCAAATCTTATCTTTCAACTTTGACTTCACTATTTTTTTTAATTCAAGAGAAAACTGGGACTTTATTCAAGGACCTAACAGCAGAGTACAGTGAAAGTGTTGTTACTGAAATGTTCATTCACTTAACACCTATTTTATTGAGTGCCTACTAAGAAACAACCATTGTGCTGGCTACTGGGAATACATTAGCAACAAAAGCAGTTAGTCCCTGCCCTTGAGGGAGACTTCACTATTTTTATCTTATAGAAATTTATTTCATTTAAATGATCATGTAAATGATCCCTTCCTTTCCTTTGCGCTTTTTATATCTTATTTAAACAATCCAGCCATACTTCATTGTCATTAAAAACTTTCTATTCCTCTTCTCATCTGTGCCTCTGTCTCTGTCTGTATCTATATCCAGCTATTTCTTGGATCTTTTATCTTATGGTTTTTCCCCTAGGCCCTTGCAAGACAAATTTTGGACCAGAGGATCACAGTAGGATATAATTTATAACAAAGTTCAAAAATTCTGAATGACAGGGCTGGGATGTGGCTCAAGTGGTAGCATGCTCGCCTGGCATGTGTGCGGCCCGGATTCCATCCTCAGCACCACATACAAACGAAGATGTTGTGTCTGCCAAAAACTAAAATTTAAATATTAAAATATTCTCTCTCCCCCCCTCCCTCCCTCCCTCCCTCTCTCTTTCTCTCTCTCTAAAAAAAAATTCTGAATGACAGACTAAGAGGAATTATAATATCTATTTTACAGGTAAAGAAACAGGTCAAGAAGCACAAAAAAAAAGAAGTCAAAGGGCTATTCCCAAAGTCAAAGATCAAGTAAGTACTGTGTAGACCTGAAGCCAGGTTCAATATTCTAAAAGTTACTGGAAACTTCTCAAGCAGTCATTATCTTTAACATTTCTTGGCCAGTGATTTACTCATTCATTCTTTTCATTTATCTTTCTAGCAGATAGGTGTAGTTGGTCACTAGAGAGATTTCCTGAAAGACAGATTGAATCTGAATCTATTCCTATCCATCCACCTACCCATTAATCTTCCCAACATATTTTTTGTGAGTTCTAGGTTCTGCCAGGTACCAGAGTGACATAGGTGAATAAGTAATTAAAGGCCCCATAAACAAGTGGGAAATTGATGAGGGGAGTAAACAATTACAATAAAGTAATAAGTACCATATATACTAGTAGAAGTATGGGATATCATAAGAACACATGAGAAGGGGCTGGGGATGTGGCTCAAACGGTAGCATGCTCGCCTGGCCTGTGTGCGGCCTGGATTCGATCCTCAGCACCACATACAAACAAAGATGTTGTGTCTGCCAAAAACTAAAAAATAAAAATATTAAAATTCTCTCTCTCTCTCTCTCTCTCTCTCT